CCAGATTAACTGACGATAATAAGACGAAATCTAAGATCAGCGGTGATTAATACCCTTGCCATACTTTAGTTGCAAATAGATTAGATTTCTGCGATCTTCCATTACGAAATTCTGTGGGAAATGTGGTGAAAAATGAACTAAGAGAACTTTGTTCTGTCGCCTATGGTTATGTAATTCGCAAAATAAAACTGCGAATTAAAACACAACAGCTGTAGAATTAAAAGTAATAAGGAAAAATAAATTCTAAACTTTTATATGTAAACATGTGTCATCGATTATCTAATGAATTCTAAATAAACTCGCTGCTATACGATGAGAAAACTATTATTTTGCAACGAAGTAAGTAGTATATAGAGTGTCGAAAGCAGCGTTAATTCATTACTCAGCTAATGCTAACGCACTGTAGCCTCTCGCGGCGACCATCACTGTAAAAACCATCAATATTTCTGTGAAGGTAAATAAAAATCAGTGTTGAGCATCATCTCTCTAAGAAGACCGTCCGCACAGAACATTTTTTAAAGTTTTGATGACACATTAACAATCAAATAGTTAATTCAAGAATCCTTTTTCAACAATGAATAATCATTCTGTTATTTCCAACAATAATCGCTAATATCTAGCGATTTTGCCAAAATGCAGAAATTGCGTTAAATATTTCATCTAAACTTCATTTAAAAGATTTTTTCCTCTCTATCCGATACTGCAATTAGTAAAATTCCGAGTTTTACTTTGCTTCTCAAACGAAAATATGTTTGAAAAATTGTTTCCATATTAAATTAAAAAAAATCGCAATCAGTTTTAGAAAATAATCTCTTACCTATGTTACATTATCATCCACATTGAGTATGTGTGCAAAATATGAGCACGATATCTTATCAAGGAACCGTTTAAACATTATGGCAAGAAAAGCAAAATTTTGACCGCAGTGACAAAAATGAAAACAGTGCTAGCTTTCAAAAATTCTAGAATTCCGTTTTATCATTATTATTATTATTTTCCAATTTTTGTTTAAAAGAGGCTGCAGAGTTTTCTTTGGAAACGTCAAATCACATTTTTAGATGTTAGAGTTTTAAAGTACATAAATATTACTTATTTCGATACCATAAAAGAACATAAATATTACTTACTTCGATAAAATTCAGGAAGTCAACTATTTAAACGAAGTGATGATAAAAATTAATAAAAACTTCTGAAATTATTAAAAATGATGCGACAAATTTAATTATGGCGCAATAACATCATAACCTTGAAACTATGTGTCCTAATAATGCCGAAGGCAGAAGTCACATTGTAGCAAGTTTCACATTATAGCATACTTTTTTAGAAAGTGTAGAAAACCGCCCAATTAATATTTTTTTTACCATTCTTGTTTTAAAAGAAGACGAAGAGTTTGTTTTACAATATGTGAAAAGTTCCAATTTTCCAACTAATTCATTTTCAGATGTTGAAATTTTAAAATCATAAACATCAACTAATCGAAATAAATCGAGCAATTTTCGAAATTTCGCCAAAGGATTGGAATGATGCTAAAAATTTAATACATACATATTTGTTATCGCTTTATCCGATGGTAGAAATAGTAAATTTTTGTGATTGTTGTCATGTTCGTTAAGCGAAAGTATGTACGTTCGTTAGCGAAAGTAATTTTAAAAAATCGCTTAACCGCATTGCATTGTCATCCACAAACAGTGTGTGTACAAAATTTGAATTTGTTAGTTTATTAGGAAGTTCGTGAAAATTGGTGACAATAAGAATAAACATCATGAATGAACTATATAAAAGCTAATAACAAAGGAAGAAACTCATTTCTTGATAACTTAATTAGGCTGCAGCACGAGTGATTGAATTTTATTTTGATAAGATTTTAAATGTACTGCATGCCTAAACACCTCTGATCAATAACTGTAACAGTCAACTTCAGTATATTTCAATAATTTCTCGAACTGATATAATTTTAAATACATTCAGTTTATATTGTGTTCATTATTTTATCTTTCTAAAAAAATTACATATTACATTCTACGTATACTTAAGTTAGGTTCCTAGAGCAGAAACCTTTTTTTTCTTTCTTTAGTTTTGTCTAACCACTGAATAAACAATCACGAATAAAAAATATATAATACCTGCTCGTAAGTTCAAAGTATATTTTACTTTTTCCCCCAAGTTTTGACATGGGAAGGTAAAAATAGCTTTGGAGTTTTCATTCTACACCTTTTTTTCTCCGCAATGCGTTTTCTTATCAAGTGAAAGAGTTTATTAAATGAAGCGTTAAAAATTAAAAACTATTCCGGGCCATTACATACGAACCGCAGACCAAAGCGCATAACATACATTCCATCGCATGGAAAAAAATAAAAATAAAAAGGAAAGAAATCAAAGGGGGAAAAGAGAAGAAAATTTTCTTCATAGTTCTTTTTGTAAAGATTAAAATTCTTGCCGTAAGAGACACGTATTACCTTAAGTTAAAGTGATGAAACTAGTTTTTTTGACCAACAAACTGGAGCCAATGTACGGCCGTTAAGGGTTTCTGTACGCCAATAAGTGCGCTAGATTCCTCATGTTGTTGCCGTTTTGGTGAAACTTCCGAACTGCGTGCTCGTACGCGAGGGAAAAGGTTAAGAAGTTTAACATAAATCATCCCTATTTTTATTTCTCTCTGTGATTTATTGCTTATGCATAATGCTAGAAAAATAAATAAATAAAAATTGGAATCTGAAAATTTCAGGTTAGAATCTAACCCTAAAAAAAAAAAAAAAAAAAAAAACAAAAAAAAAAAAAAAACTTAATTAATTAAAAAGATAATTAAATTAAAAAATTAAAAATACTTAAAATATTACAGTTTAAAAATGCATTATACAGTACTTTGATTCCAGTTTTACGCGTGAAATAATTCTAAGCAAATAAACTTTCACACCTTTAAAGGTTAGATTAGGTGCTTAGATTAATTATGGCAAAGCTCATAGAAGTTATCTACCTGAGACTTAACTGCCACTGTTCTCTGATGCGCTTGTGGAGAATTTTACAACAGAAATTGTAATAATAATGTAAACTGTAAACAGAATTTTAACAGAGGCTGGTTCATATTGATGTTACACATGGGAAAAAAATGAAAACGACCATATGGCCACCCTTTTTACCCAGGAACCACCAGCAGCCGAGTGGTAAAATCGATGAACACTGGTAGTTCGGACCTGAGTTCGATTTCAGGTGAACGGGCTGGCTGCATGCGTGTACTCATGGCTTTCACCATGCGTAACGAGTACACGAGCCAGTTTCCCTTAGAAAGTAATCCAGGAAAGCACCTCTCCTCTTAGACAGATAGCCCTGTACTATGCTGTGCCATAATCAGCTCGAACTATCGATGTTCAACAGTTTTAGCCACTCGTTAATGGCGGTTCAATAGATTATTCACATAAATTCAAGATGGGAAATATAAAATCATATTTTTAAAATCCCTTGTCCAAAATAGAACTTCTAAGAGGTAGATAAAAAGGAATGACTTTTGCACTTATTAAAAAAAAGTTTGTGATGTAGTTTTTCACAAGATCACTTGCGCATAAAACTTGTGGTGTTGAAATAATGTGCAGAAATAAAAATGTCCTTTCGTCCTCGCATGCATGGTTTAAAATATTAATGTAGCAGGAACAATCAACTTTTGAAATCAATTTCTTTATAAATGGGAAATTAGGATAAAAATTCATTTATCATTTTTAATAAAAAATATAAAAAATTGTAAATTAATTAAATAATAAATAATTTTAATCATAAATATAAATTTATAAAATTTATAAGCCATATTAATTTATATAACTTTTTTATTTAAATATAAAATAACATTTTTCTTGTTAGAAAAATTGTCTGTTGGTTTAAATGAAGTTGTAAATCTGGCGTGAATGCAGATTTTAAAAATTAGCACGATTTTAAAGTAGCACTTTATAGTGTTTCCTACGAAGTTTCTTGACGAACACATTTCACCTGACCGTCTTTATTTGCAATGGAAAAAAAAAAAAAAAAAAAAAAAAAAAAAACTGTGCATGTTTTGCTGTAAGCTTATTATAAAGATTTTGATAATGCCACACTGTGTTGACGAAATAACCCAGGAAGACCTTAAAAATTAATAATTTAATCTCATAATACCTGCTTATTAATAAAAACTTTATTGTACTCGTAGTTTCATGAGCTTCATACCTTAGTTATTTTGCCTCGTATTAATAATTTTTTTACTTCAATATTCATTTAAAAATCGAGAACTTTCTTCAATCCAGGTCACAGGTCCGGGCGCCTGGTAACTCGATGCGTACTATTTATTAATTTATCTCATTTCATTATAAAAAAGCATTGGCTATGTTCGCTTCAGCGTTGGAGACAATACCTATCTAGTTAACACAAAAGGGCAATCTTCACATTCAGCAGAAGGACACCGCCAAGTATCCTTTAAAAAAAAAAAAAAAAAAAAACTCGCCAAATAAAGGTAGCGCTAATTCTTCTTTCCTATGGAGCAAGGAATGATTGGCATACCGGAGCAAGTCTGTATTATTTTTGCGGTTTTTGGTCGTCTCAATAGGTCCCTCACTCGCGCGCCGAAGTTTCCCAGACAAACACAGAGGGTTAATGATCTTTGGATATGCGAGGACCACATTCTTTCGATAGATCTCCCCCCTCTTACTTACCTCTACCCCGTATCCATATTCTATGTTCTTTCAGGAGGTTGAATTCTCTGCGCGACTTTTTCAGAATGAAATGCATCACTCACTCATCTCAGACACTTTTGTGCTCTTTTGTTGGTATTATTGTTATTGTTTCCTTTTTACTTTCAGCTTTCTCCTTATGGAAAGAAACAGTTGAATTAGTCCTTTACGTGCATATAAATATAGTGGTGGTTAACAGATAATTTCGTATTAGATGTTTGTGTTTTCAAATCTTAAGGTATTCGCACATAGTTTTATAGATTAAAGGAGTCTTTTAATGTTCTATAAATGTAAATTAATAAAGCACAAGAGTTTTTACATTTTTCTTTGAGAACGATTTATTGTAGCCTGGAACGAAGAGAAACTCAGAAGACTGCAATCTTAATTCCACAATAACACTTTGAAATTTATTTTGATTCTCGTAGTTATATGGAAATGCACCTTTCGTATAGAACAGTTCCTTTTTCTACTTCCCTTTCCCATTCTTGCGTTGAGTTTAAAGAAGAATGAATCCAAGTCAATGTCCTCTGAAAAGAAACTTTATTGTTTAACCAATATTAAATTAAAAATTTCATAAGCTAAGTCATAATTAATGAATTAATAAAAATATAAAAGAATCAATATAATGTCTAGTTCTGCTTGCCTATTTTTATCCAATCATATATATCGTTTTGACTTACGATGAGCATGGCCTGTAAACTGATTTTTGTGAAGTTGTACGTTGTCTTTTTATTTTTTGTGTAACATGAAAGTTTGCTCAAAATATATTAATGTTGATCCAAAGATATTTCATAGTTAAAGCATATTAGAGGAAGCATATCTTAAAGATGCTTCGATTTAACAATTTCCCCGGTTTCCAATGTCAATTTCAGTCAGAACACGGTAAAATCTCTTGAAGACCACTGCTTATCAAATCCTTAAACAGAGTCAGTGCATCACTGCTTTATACCAGTTATTTCTAGACGTATCTGAAAAGACTGTAACTGGTAATTTTACTGGACCATCCTTTCCAACTAGTAAGCTTAATGTTTCAAATATTCATAAACTCATTGTGCTTATCAGGTGCGTGTTTAGATGTCGAGTATCGTACTGTTATTTATTTTCGGAAGAAATATTAAACCAATTTCAGGAGGTATTTATTCTGTATTCTAGGAAAGACATTGTGTAAAATGGTTTTTACCAAACTGCAGACGAATATACTCCTTGTAAGCTTAAGTAGTTCACGATAGGTTACGTGTAAGACAGGAGCGGTTGCCGGTGATCGATGGGGTATCCTAGCTACGGGGAAGGATTGTTCGACCTCAGGTTGGTATTCTTAAACTGTAACAAAAAGTTTACATTTAACAGGACAGTTAAAGAACAATGAAACGACCCAAAAAGTACGAAAAAAAGGTAAATTTAAGCAGGTTGTATGGGCAGTAAAATCAATAGAAATATTCCCTACTTACATTTATATTTATATATTTACATCTGATTACGACGAAGCGCACAGTGGCATCCCCGAAAAAGGAGGACTGTCCTGTGAAGGAGTTTTAAGGAAAACTATAAAAGTTATAGTTCCTATCCAAATCACACATGGGGGAAGGCACAAAATGCAGCCAACGTACAGTAAATCCGTTCGCCGGGATTCGAACTACCGGCGTTCTGCCACTTTACCGCTCGGCCGCTGGTGAGCCATGAGCATTTAGCGTTGCAAATTCCATTTGATAGAGTGTTCCCATTGTTTTGATACGATGACTGAGCGTCAAGATCCCATGACTTGCCACTGCTAAGCAGAAGCGCAAAATATAAAAGATTTCGAATTTAGGCTTCAATGATATAAACAATGTATAATTTCGAAATTAAAATGGCACAGATGAAGAAGATGGCACAGATAGCACCAGAGATATCATACATTGCATATTAGTCTAGAGATGTCTGCCAGTGGTAGACTTTTAATTCTCGCATTTTGGCAGTGTTTATATGAAATTTTTTAATGGTGTAACTCTTAATGGATTATTGTAAAAAGCTTATATCCACTTTACTAGCTAGGCGGTTTTAATTTGGCTGGGCGGTTAATGATTTTAATTTCTATATTAAGCGTCCTTCAAAGTCAATACCAAAATTATAATTTCCATCATTTTCTATATGAAGTTTATTTCCTACTACTATTCCGCCATGAGTAATTGCTGCATCGTTTAGTTTGAGGGAGAAATTATTACAGACGCTGGCTTTTAAAATTCATTAACAGAAAGCAATGCAAGCAAAAAAATTTTTTTCCCAGAAGTGTGGCATCTCGAAAAATTATAGAAATGCTTTAATGTTTCTAGCGGTTCAAGCATAAATTTATCATGGCATTAAAAGCGCTGTGTTGTTTTAACCTAAGATGTTTTATGATTTCAGATAATTCTTGTTTTGGTGAAAGAAGGGTAACTTCTACACTTGCGTCATATAACTTTCATAATATGTGATAAACCAGACGTCATAAGTGCATTTTGAAATGTTTATCCTCTTTATGTGTTTACATAATTAGACGGCAGAAAAAAAATATATATGCCGAAGCATACTACAAATAAGATGCTAGCGGAAATGAAGGAAATTGTCTTTTACGAACATTGATGAAATTGTATTTTCTGTTGCTTCTCACGGATTGCTATGTAAACAAGTGAAATTTTTATAAATAATATATAAGCATGCATGCAATTCAGAAAACATTCAAACGGTAAAGCGGAATTTGAAACTAATAACGCAATTTGAAAGCAAGAGCGAATCACGGCCTTGTTACGCCATCTAGTGAAATATACAGGAAATAAAATCAATTTGCTTTCAAGAACTAGATTCTATCAATTTGTTTCACATATTATTTATTACTTCCACTCATCAAGGTGAATTCACTCATGAAAGAAAATGCTATAAAAATTTTCGTGTATTTTAATTCTTTAAATATATTTCATTTAAAAAATACTTTCCATATTAATTTCAAAACAGCATTTTGCGTCGATTCGCTTTTCAAATTGTTGCCCCAAAATATCATCGCCATGTATTGTATTTAAAGAAACTAAACAATGAAGAATCTGCATGAATGCATGAATGTTTTCTCGAACTGTGAAGAAACAGCGCTACCTAGAGCTATCCAATTTTGAATAACGTAGTCCTCCAACCGAACATGGACACTTGGAAGCCTGAATTTTGAATTTGTTTTATTATCTATTTAAAATTCTGCAAAACTTTAACGAATACTTGATTAACAAAATCAACGATTTCAAAGCGAGCAGTGGCAATACAAAAAAAAAAAAAAAAAAAAAAAAAAAAAATTATCTCCGCGCGAGACTGTGCATCGGAAATTCTAAAGATATGCTGTTTTTTAACTATTTTATGATAATGTTAATGAATTCAATTTTATGTGTTTTAAGTGCGAAGAACATGATATTTAATCGATAAAAGATAACACGCAAAACGTTAAAAAAGGCCCTTTTGGGCGTAACATAAAAACTGAAAGCATCAGGTTTTTTTTTTTTTTTTTTTTTTTTCAAATTTTATTTTTACTTCTAATGCAATTTTTACCTCAAATGCAATTTTTATGGTTTATCATTCTGTTTCAATAACAAATATTTGCAAACTCGAAATTTTCCAGAACTCTAATTATTCCGATCTTTATGATTACTTTCTTCCCTAGGCGAATTAAAATTAAGTTTGATGCCAATTTATTTAATTTTTCTTAATTTAAATATTATACAAAGATGGTAGAGAACATATATTTAAGAAGCTTCTAAATTAATTTAGATGTTTGCATACGATAAATAAATTGGCCGACTTTGATAAAAATCTAGTCTATAAGTATTACTAAAAAAACAATTAAATATTATACATATCTTCAATAGTTTTTGTTAACGTTGTGAATCAATGCTTAACGTAAGAGTTGCTGCTTTTCTAAAAACAGACTACTTAAATAATGTGACATCGAGTCAGCTCTTTTTCTATAAAGGAAATTGTTCTCTTACCATTTGTACATACTTTGCATGTCTTTTCAAGGTAAGCAAATAAGAACAATTCAATTGTTTAATATTACTGAAAAGAGTGTATTTTGTATTTTATTCATTGAAAAACATTTTTTGAATTTTGAACTGCGTATTCTTTATAGAAATAAAAAGTGATGAACGAAAATTAAAATTTTCTGATCTGCATTGCATTGATTAGATATTTGGTCTATAAGGAAGGTAATTTTGAATTGAATTTCCAAATTTCAGATTGCAGATTGCTTCGTTAAGACATAAGTCTTAAAGAAGAGTTTACCATTAACTTTTTAAAAATTTTGATTACATAAAAAATCATATAAATATTTCTCTTCTGTTTTTAAATAAAATTTAGCTTACTTCATCAAATTAAATCTTTATTACTGAATATTATTACAGCTGACTTAGGAAAAACTTCAGTTTTAAGAGCTCCAACATTTATTGTTGCATTTTTTTCTCTTTTAAGTTACTAAATTAACTTACTAATTTAAACGTTAATTCGCCAAGAGTTCAAGCATTAGAACATAAAAATCTTATTCTTAAAACGAGCTGCTAAGCATAGTAATGTCAAATGGTTAAAAATAAATACATTAATAAATAATTTTCATTTAATGCAAGTGCAGACTTGTGCATTTATTTAATAAAAAAATTTAAAAAATAAAAAAAACTTAATTACTCATTTATCTGCGCACTTTTTTCAATGGATCGCTTGAGTACGAGGTTTACAGCAAATATTTTCCTCAAGTACAAATATTTTTCTTTTTTCCAGAACGTGAAATCCAATAACTAAAAACAATAAACACTTATTGGAGTTCTATTAAAATAAGAAAGATACCTAATATGTGAGGGGGAAGTATTTATTTTCTAAATATTTGGAATGGCTGTTATCTCAGTTAGTCCAAACATTTGCAGTTACCCAGTGTTTAGAAAAATATTTTTATCACTTAATTCATTACTAGTGATACTTTTATCTATAATGTGCCTAGTCATTATCGCAGAAGATTTTTTATGGCTGTGATTTTTTAAAAAAAAGAAACATTGTTTAAGAAACACTATTGTGCACCCTGAATAAACAGCGCAATAAGGGAAAGATAAAAAGAAATTATTTATTTTGCGAACAATGGCATGTCATTTACGTAGAAAATTCCTGTATTATCACTGAAATGTTGCACGGAAAATAAAAGAATAAATCAGTGATGTGGTTTCATTTTTAAAATATATATCTGATTATTTTCTCTACCACTATCTCTTTTAAACATCATTTCATCAAATGTAATAAAAAACTTACCACTTCAGCAAGTTATGCAAAGTCAAATTTTGGTGCAATATGTCATAAGCTTCATTCAGTTTTTCTGTAGAATACTTGATAAAAATTCTACTTGAGGGACCTTTCACAGTTTTGTATTTTTTAGTGCTTTCACTTCCATCCCTCCTTTTTCAGTTGCTTTTCTATGGACCTTTTTTATATACTGGACTTTTCTCTATTAATTATAAAATGACGTATTAAAGAGAATATTAAAATTTATTAACATAACACTTGGTCTGGATTATTCTATTATAACAAAGCATTCGAAAGATATCTGCCTAAGGAGAGGAAAAGCTTCGAAGCCGCCCAACCGGGAAAGTGGTTAGCGACGCTAACTACCGTACCGAAGAGCCCGGGCTCGAATCCCGGAGTAGGCATGAATGTAAATTGTCTGTTACTTTGTAGAAGGCAACGGTGGACCGCCTAGTAGGTACCTTCATAATAAATAATCGCCGCTTCCGGCCTTAGTAGTGCCCAACGCCTATAATGGCTAATGGCCGCCATTGAGGGAGGGGAAACTTGTTAATGAATTAAAGCAGATTAATAAAAAAATACTTGCTAGATGTGTTTTATTGAGTTCATTCATTTTATTTATTTTCTTAAATCCAAGTTTTTTTTTTTTTTTTTTTTTTTTTTTGAGGGCTACATCTTAGAATTGATAAATGGTTACTAATTCAAAATATCAATCTGAGAATTAGGGAATTATCTATTTTTATTTATTCTTTATGGCTGTATTCATTGGTATACATTAACTTTCATTGTGGAATAATTTCATCATGCACTTGAAAATTACATCTACAATTTCTATTTAAATTTTTAGAATTAGAAATTCATTTGAGCATTTTAAATTCGAAGGATATGCTTAAGTTTTATTACATATAAATGAATATTCCTAAAATTCTCGAACACTGTTTTATCACTATCAGTGGCAGCAGATAAACCTGTCAAAAACTGGATAATTGAGACTTTCACTGTAACTGAAACCGAAAGAGAAACAGAAGCCCAGCGGGTCCTTCCCCGTAAACAAAAACCCAAAACATATTGCACGCGCCCGAAACGTAGCAAATGAATACGTTTACACCCACAGCTCCAAACCTACAGGTTCTAGTTTTCAACCATCCTTGTTTACTCGTGAAGGGTCAGACGCCTCTTGTGTCCTGTTTGGAACGGCAAAGAACGAATGCCTCTGAAGAGAAACAGATCGAGCAGGCTTTGCACCTGGTACCACCTCCGAAAGGAACGGGCACTGCCACCAGCCAACAGGAACCTATGCTAATCAGATGAACGTAAACACAACCACGTGATTTTTCCTTCCATTTTCCCTCTCTCTCTCTCTCTCTCTCTTTGCATCGTAGCGTGCCGTTAAGGTTGAGATCGAATAGAACTCCCCCTCTTCTCCTTTCTCTTTCCATCTTCCCCTACTTTCTTGTGGAATGCAGGTAACAGATGTTTGCATCCCGTGATGCAGGGATCATGTATGAATTTTAGGTTTTAATTTTTATTTTCAATTTAGGCAACGGAAATACTTCTTTATTTTATGAACATTACATATTTGATTCATTAGAATAGCGAATTTAATGGTCCTAAAAAGGAAATTTGTTTAAGGATAAATGCCATTATTTTGGAGAGTATGTCCAAATTTCCATAGTAAACAAATTTTGGAATTGATTAAGAAGTGACGTATTAAGTAAAATGACTTCTAAAGGAGGAAGATACATATTGATCTTTAAAAATTCTCACTGAATTCGAAATTTGATTTAAAAAAGTACAAAATATTTTATTTACCTTCATATTTTGAAAGTAGGAAATATTTTATTGACCTACCTAAGGTCCAGTTGCTACTTTTGATAAGGTCTAAAATAGCTGTCGATTCGAATTTGATTACATAAATTATTTTTAGGTTTCGAAAACTGGAATGTATTAATTTTTGTTTTGTTTAAATCATTGGATTAATGATGTTTCTAATTTCGTGAAATCCGACACCCAGTTCCTCCTCTGTCATTCTGTTTTGCATTACATTTAAAGACATATGTTTAGCAGCAGGAATAATTCTTTACAGCGATGCTTGATCTATACTTAGATTACTTTTACTAAGATATAAAATTTATTTATTATAACAGATTTGGTGGGTTTCTTCTCCCCCTAATTTAAAAGGAAGTTTCTTCTTTTTTCTTTATCTCTTATTTTGTTAAATACATAATTTGAAGTATAAAACTATTGTCCTTTTAAAATCATACTGAGACATAAACTGATCTTTTACCAGTTGCAGTTACAACGTAGCAACATATACAATAACGACTGCATAATGATATTTTTACATACTTCTCAACACCATTTCAAAAACTAAGAATGACGTAATTCCAAAATATATATAATTTTTTATCTTATAATAATTACTACTTTTAAAGATGAACAGTTTATAATAATCATAACTTTTAAAGAAGAAATTAAAATCGAATTCCGTGTTAAGCTTTAGAAATAAAATAATAACTCTAAATAAACAGATTGTGAAAATGCTTTCTTCTTCATTAACGAAAGTTTTAAAGAAGAAAAATTTTGTTCCTGTTTTTAAGAAAGAAATTAAAAAAAAGTAACACAAATGATTTTTTTTAATTACCCGCATTTGAGGAGTTATGAAAAAGATACTGTTAAAATTGTTAACATGAAGAAACACGTAATTTTTAAAGAGATATCCCCTCGTCTTTAAGCAACGTTTCTAATCGAGCTAGCAGACGACAGAAATTTCGTTTGTGGCAACGAAGCCATCGAAAAAAAAGGGGGAGGTTCCACGAATAACCGTGACCCCTAAAAGGAACACCTGGCTGTCGTCTAGGCACCTTCTGCGCATGTGCAGACGTGTGCCTGCCACGCTTTCAGGCTAGAAACTTCACTCTACGGAATTTTTGGATGCTGCAGGATATAATGCGAACAATGATCAGCTTTTTTTTTTATCTCCCCCCTTGTCATACAATGAGCACAAAACACCTTAAGTAGAGGGTAAATATAAAAAAAAATGCGAGGCCATGTTGGGAGCATTCTTAAAATGTACCAGCTGCTGTATTTAATGTGACTGGTAATATGAAACTTTGTAAAGAGAGGAATATAACTAAAGAGAATGACATGACTATAGCACTGTGTTTTCAGACCAATTCAGTTACATTTAAACATTAATTAAAATATTTAAAGAAGTACTCAAAAATTTAAGTTTCGTAAATAAGTAGTTAAGATAATCTTATATTTGAGAATAATTATTAATAACCCATGTCTTTGAAAGAGGTTTATTGTATAATCTTCCCAAAAATTTAGCGGCAATTATCAGAAGATAAATTCGCGTCCTGATAAAACAGACATTTCTTGCTTCTTCATTTGCATAATATCTTTAATTTTCTCCTAAATTAACTGTTGCCAGTATACGAAACGTATACTGGCAACAGTTAATTTAGGAGAAAATGTGATCTATATAGTGAAGATCTATGTAATGAAATATAAGAAAAATGCTTCCTTCTTTATAATGTTAAGAAAAGGCTACAAATTTTATAGAAAAAAAAGCAAAATTCATCGTATGATAGCGCATTTTATAATAACATTATGAGGCTTGGAATTTCCACTGATAATTTCGCAAAAATGTTGGGGGCTGGAGACACGTTAAATTTAAAAATAAATGCATAAAATATTAATCTGAAGAGAAAAAAATCTCAAGTGAACACCACATGGCTTCCCCCCCCAAAAAAAACTTTTTTTTCAACTTTTTATTTAAACTTATTTCCTCGAATTTCGTTACAGATATAAGTCTCATGCAATTAATTCAGTTCTCAGTTCGTGGCAAGGTAAAAATACATAAAAACTCGAAACAGCTTCATTAAAAATTGTAAAATAAAAAATAAATAAATAAGAAATAATACACCAAATACAGTTAATTTTTTTTACAATAAAAATTACAGTTTCTACCCTAAAAACAAACAATTCGGCTAGCGTGCAGGAAGACAGATTTTTCGGTGCACCAATTTAAAAGTTTACTTTTGGCCCCACTAGGCGAAAAGACACTGAAGTTGGTGCACAAACTGACTTAATTCAATATTCTATTACGAGTTTCAAATGTAAACGATTGGCGGCCTCGTTAGGGTTAGCACCTCTTAAACTTTTAAATAGCTTTCGATGACAGTTTTGGCTGGTGGTTAACGTATACAGATGAAAGCAAATAAACTGAGCTTCGAGAAATCACCAATCTTTATTTTCAGACTTAGTCAATTACTTTGGCGGACACTTATTCAGACATAATTAAATATGATAAATTTCTGTGCACATTGACGTTTTAAAAGGAAACGACGTTGGCAGTCAAGCAAAGGTACAGAAAGCGATGCGATGTTGACAGAGCAGCAGGGAAAGGGAAGAATGACGCAGTTTATTGTGCCAAAAGTATTTATACCAAGTTCTGATGTTTAAGTAGAGCTAATCTGTGACTGGTTAATTTGATGTAGTTACATAACATAGAAGATTCTTGAA